AAGCTCTGTTTGTCCTTTAAAGTCAGTCGCAATTTTCGAAAAATACGAAACTCCGATTTGGATTCAATCGGATTAAACAAAGGCCAACCCATATGAGTATTTTATGGTCTGCAAAGGGTGTCGAATGTAGAGAAATTGTAAATCCATCATTTCTTTGTAAATACTGAAGCTTTTTTATGGACTGATATTTCTTTCAGAAATTCCCCGTCTTCAATATCCCAGTCGGAGCAGAACAGTATGTCGTTAAACCCCATTTTATTCGATTTTGGCTGTCGAATTATTTGTACATTGCAAGAGATTCCAGAACCATTAAAATGACGTTCAATTGGTAGCTAGTACGAACCAAACCAAAGAATATTTTCAATCATATCTTTTTAAATACTGAATGGAAAGAAACCCTTTTTTTTGGGGGGGGGGGATATTCCTTTTAGAAATTCAACTTTCACATTATTGTATTTAGCAAAGGAATCCGCCATAGCTTAAATGACTGCAATTGTTTGTTTCTTGTAGATCTGGTGTTTAACATAGTTAATGATTACTGTGATTGGATTTGGAATACTGAGCCGCCTTGTGGAACGAAGCCGGTTTAACCTGTTCCGGAAAAAGAATTCCATGCTGAACATTATGACGTAACATCATGACGTACCATTAATGCCATCAGTTCAATAAATATTGTTTATTGAAGAATTCACTTAGTTGTACGGGTTTTTTTTTTTAATAATTTTGAATTATTGTAAACAGAAACCTGGTGGCGATGAATAAGATTGTTGTGGGTGTGGGGGCACAAAACCCAGATATTTACATGGTTAGAGGCATGCACTTAACCTCAATAATTATATCATTAAGAAGGGGCTTCCGGGTTCTGGCGCCGGGAAATGTGGGGCTGTGTAGAACATTGTATATCTGAGCCAAGATTTGTTTCATTTGAGAAGTACTCAAAATAATTAAGGGAGCGCAACTACTCTATATCCCTGACGCAAAGTCCCTGGCTATAAATTAACCGTAACTACTTTACTAACGGAATCAGAAACTAGGTCATTTCGGGACTAAAATATGGTTTAATTTTATTTCAATAATTCGAATGGACGTAGGGGTCTTTAGCAGTGGGAGAAAACCGGAGGACCCGGAGAAAACCCACGAGGTTGGACAGGCAACCCTACTCCTTGTCACCTACAACCGGGGACTGGAAACCACGCCAGTTGACTCAATGACAGACCTTATGATACAGCGCGCACATGCTAACCATTCGGCTATCCAACCCCCCTACTAACGGAATCACATACAATGACACCCGTAATGGCCAAACCCTTTCACCCGAATTATGTGGCTTATCAAGGTTTGGTGATCCCCGAGGCTAACGCTTTGATTGTATGCCACTAAGACTGAAGTATACGGCCTGGGGCCCATTTCACGACATTTTTACTAAGATAAAAATCCAAATTTTAATAATTTGATTGGATAATATTAGATAGATTTTAGTGCTTAGCCAATCAAAATTTAAGTATCTACTAAAATTGGGATGTTATTTTGTGTTAAGATTTTTAGAAATAGGCCCCAGGAAAACATTTCAAGTATGTAAAATAGATGAAACCAAATCTTTATTCAAATTTAATTAAGACATAATAATATTTAAATGGCATTTAGCGATTTTGAAACCCGTTAACAGAAACAATTACTCTGTGGTTTGTGTTTTAATAATTAAGGGAACTACGATGGCCGAGAGTGTTAGACGCCTGGAGGTCGCGTGTTCGATCCCTGCATTGGCCGAGAAAGGTCATTCAGATTTTCCGACATGTGTTTTAATAATTAAGGGAACTACGATGGCTGAGAGTGTTAGACGCTGCCTCACTAGCTTGGAGGTCGCGTGTTCGATACCTGCATTGGCCGAGAAAGTTCATCCTGATTTTCCGACATGGTTCCCCGTGTCAGTGGTGCAGGACGCAGCCCATTATATGGCGTATGCCCGCCGTCATTAGCCCAGTCAGAGTAGAACAGTAGGACTTTAAACCCCATTTCATTTCATTTCATTTTAAGAATTAAACTAGTGATTGTGTCCCTGTGTACTGTTAATTTAGGCAGCTTATGCAACGGAATCAATAACAGCGACAATAAACAACATAATTTAAGATTTTGAGTTTCTCTCCCTCTCTCTCTCTCTCTCTCTCTCTAATGACAGGCTGTAGAATTGTTTTATTTTGCCTCGTGGTGTTAGTGCAACACGTGCTTACATGTCAATCATTCACCAATAAGTACTTTATCATATATATACCTGTTAACACATTATAATTTATCATGTAATAAACGAGACAGGTAAACTATTTATAATAATTATTCAACCTGAATTGTCACCTGTCTCACCTGAAGAAAAATTATTATTAAAAGTAACCGTGGTGGCTCGATAAGTAAGAGGCCGGATTTTACCAGCGTTGTTCTACCTTTTCAGGACTGGCAACAAACAGTATCTAGTTCTTTGGAGGGTCAAAAACTAAGGCCCTATGTACACTTTTACGTGCACTTAGTATAATCGTTGACAGTTGGAATTCTCGTGAAGAATATTCAGGCAACGCCGCTCTGCGTATGTCCGTCTTCAATAGCCCGTTTGGTGCTGTAAAGAAGGCCATTAAACCACATTTCATTTCGTATGTATTTTACACTTTCAGTATATCTGCACGTTATTAATGCTGCTGCGGTCACATATGGGTATCGTTTATTTGAGGGGGGTCAACAATAGACTGAAAGAAGTCATAGTGATATATGTACATTATCAATGTTGCGACATTGGAGTCTCGATCATAGACCCAGAACGTTGCTAATTAACGGAATTACAACTGAGCGACACGGTACTGTTATTCCCGTCACAGTTCTGTCAGTCCCAATACTAGTGACTATTTTTCAGATGTCGTGGTTTCTTGGCTTATTTTCTGATTCAATCCGCGCATACCTTGTAACCCGAAAGATAGAATTCAATTCCGGAATGCTGAATCGAGTATTCCCTTAAACGGATATATCCGTGAACACTCCTATTGCTTTCCGTCTGTCACGTGGTTCATTAGATTATTTACATTCACGCAAATGGGTTTATGAAAGAAATTATGGATGCTACAGGAGATAAGGTTGTTGTTTTTTTATTTATAGAAATATTTCATTGTGAGATTTTAAACAAACAAAGATAACACAAAGTTCAGTGTTTTATAATTATTTGATGTTCAGCATTTGGGTAAATCTCCTGATTTAAAACAATCGCATTAAAATACAGATCTATATTTCGTTTCGTTGTTTTGTACTTTCAATGGCCTCTACTACATAAAGATCTGGTCGGTTGTAGTGGAAGTTTGCGTCAGACATTTGATTAATCAATCAGCGTTGATGTTTCTAGTGGGTTACCTACAGTTCCGTGCACCCCACGCCAAAAACTCGCCGTAACGGACCGTTTCATTGGCGGGTTATCCAGAACGCGGGTTATATAACAACTCTTCCGGGTCCTAGTGTAGTAAAGACAAGTAAAACGGAATTTTGAACTATAAAAAACGAAACGAAATAGGATCTGTGTTTTAATCAGATTGGATTTAAAACAGAAGTAGATATGGGATTAGTGGATAGGGTGCTAAGTATTTAAGTCTAATCGTCGTATAACATACAATAACAAATAGTCAGTGGATTAGACATACAATAACAAATAGACGATATTATTACATACAATAGCAAATAGTCGGTGGATTAGACATAAAATAACAAATAGTCGGTGGATTAGACATACAATAACAAATAGACGATCTTATTACATACAATAGCAAATAGTCGGTGGATTAGACATAAAATAACAAATAGTCGGTGGATTAGACATAAAATAACAAATAGTCGGTGGATTAGACGATCTTATAACACGCAATAACAAATAGTGGGTGGATTAGACATTCTTATTACATACCATAACAAATAGTGGGTGGATTAGACATTCTTATTACATACCATAACAAATAGTGGGTGGATTAGACATTCTTATTACATACAATAACAAATAGTCGACGGATTAGACATTCTTATTTGTCGGTGGACGAGGCAATACACCACATGGTACATAAACATTATTTTTCCAGTCACAGATACCAGATTCTTCATTAAATACAAGACCTGGAATATAGATCAATAACATTCTTCACACAGAGATCCATCTAATTCATACTTCGAGAATAAATCTCTGTCCTAAATGGCCGCCATATCAAAAAATTAGTATATTGTTGGAGTTTTTTATGCGGCATACACACAAAGACTAAATAAACCTATTTAATTTCATTAAATGGAGGTAGAATAAATACTTCTCAAAATTTTCGAAGTATACTTAGCGTTTTTGATTTAGGACTTTTAACATGTCGGTCAACTAGCTTAGTGTCTGGTCTCAAGCCGAGTTAATGGTAGACAGTAAGCCTAAGTTTAGTATGCGATCAATTGTAGTATCGGGTTTAACGAGCTATCTGTAGACAGACAGCCCAAGTTTAGTATGCGACCAATAGTAGTATAGGGTTTAATGAATGAAAACGGAAATACGTCATTCAATGAAAAATGATATGAAATTGCGTTTCGCATCCCACTTTTCTCCTTCGATTGGGCTAATGAAGACCAACATACGCCGTACAGTGTGCTATGAGGGAAATTTTGCCTGTACATCTCCACAACGGCCTACTCTTATTGACCCTACGTCGTGCATCCCTGACAACGGCGAAACAATTTCAGGGTGTTTTTGTAGCGGTGGGAGGAAATCGGTAGACACGCGGAGAAAACCCACGAAGCTGTACAGGCGATCCTACTCATTGACACATCATTCGGCTACCTACCCTCCCCCCCCCCTAATTAATTTAGACAATAAAATAGAGCTCCGTTATCTTTAAAGGTTAAATACATAGGATTTGCACCTTACAAATTCCAAAAGACTAGGCTCTATATGGTCCTAAATGGTTTTAGAGACCAAAAGTCTTTAAGAAAAAAAAAATACGTACCAGGAGGACAGTAATTATGACCGAAGAATTCTCCATTTTGACATGTATAATAAGACGTACAGGCTTGATCGTAATCAGGATATTTGCCGTCCGGTATGTTTGAACAATCTATCCAATCTCCACAAGGTGGTCCTACGTTAGTTTCACTAAAATACAAATTGTATATTTCAATAAATAATATTGTTTGTATATTTCTATAAAAAAAAAATTGTTTTGTATATTTCTGTAAAAAACATTTTTTCAATAATATTTTTGTATATTTCAAGAAATAATATTGTTGTATATTCCTTTAAATACTATTTTTTGCATATTTCTGTAAATAATATTATGTATATTTCTGTAAATAATATTGTTGTATATTCCTGTAAATACTATTTTTTATATTTCTGTAAACAATATATTTGTATATTTCTGTAAATAATATATTTGTATATTTCTGTAAATAATATATTTGTATATTTCTGTAAATAATATATTTTGTATATTTCTATAAATAATATTTTGTATATTTCTATAAATAATATATTTTGGATATTTCTATAAATAATATTTTTATATGCTTTTGAACATAATAATCCGTGTATATTTTTGTAAATAATAAATTTTGTATATTTCTGTAAATAATATTGTTGTATATTCCCGTAAATAATATTTTTGTATAAATAATATTATGTATATTTCTGTAAATAATATTTTTGTATATTCCTGTAAATAATATTTTTGTATATTTCTGTAAATAATATTTTTGCATATTTCTGTAAATAATATTTTTGCATATTTCTGTAAATAATCTGTTTGTATATTTCTATAAATAATCTTTTTTGTATATTTCTATAAATAATCTTTTTTGTATATTTCTATAAATAATCTTTTTTGTATATTTCTATAAATAGTATTTTTTTTTATATTTCTTGAAATAATATATTTTGTATATTTATGTAAATATATATATTTTTTGTCTATTTCTATAAATAATAAGTTTTGCATATTTCTATAAATAACATTTTGTTTATTTCTGTAAATAATATAGTTTTGTATATTTCTATAAATATAAGTTTTATATTTTTCTATAAATATTAGCGATTGGTCTGATACAGAAGATAAGGAAACATAAAACGATCCGGGACTTAACGGACTTCCGTAACGGACTTCCGTAAAGCTAATTTGACAGGTGTTTGTATCGTGGGCATTATGTCAAAATAACATTAAGTTGTAACTAACTATTCTGTCTAAAGTGTATTACGTTCATGTTCCTGTAACCGAAATTATTAGAGAGACAAATGTTCTGAAACCGATTTATGATTCAGGGGAAATAACTTGTCTAAAACCGGTTGTATGTCATTAGATATAAAACTAAAGGTGATGAATGAAATGGGGTTTGAAGTACTACTTTTCTGTTCCGAAGACGGGTTTACGCCATACAGTGTGCTATAAAGGAAATTGTGCCTACTCTTATTTCGAATTCATGATTACACCCCCGTCCCCCCCCCCCATTGTTTTCTAAAAAGACCACAAAATCTGATAAACAAATAATTTATTAGCCATATGACTTACTCATCACAATCTTCAATCTCTGGATTAAAGACAAATCCTTCTTCACATTCAACAGTTTCACCTTCGCCATCTTTACATCTTACAAAGGACTTGCAACCGATTTCATAGATTCCATCGTCTTGATTAGCGCAATCAAAACCCAGAACTGCAAGATAATACAAATATTGAACAATTATAATGTAATAGATAACTATACCTAGTACAGATATTTTGTTTGTATGTCCGTACTAGGCCCTCCTGTCTGCGCACCACTGACAAAAGGGTAACACCTTGCAAACCCAAGGAATAGTAAGTCGGCACCTTTCTCACTGCGCAACTGCGGATCCACAACACCATTTAAGCACCCTGTAGCTAACAGCTCTATTCCTGTTCATTTATTCCCTGGCTCTTGGTGACAGTATGTCTACAATGTAAACAGCGACGGATTTTATATTCAGCCATCATTAGGCTGGATGGTTTAGTGGTTTAAACGGATGCGTCCTATTTTGTGTCGAGTGGACGTTACCCCATGTGGACGACATTAGAACGCTTGAAAAGTCACTACTGCACAGCCCATCCCGGGATTCAAACCCGGGACATTCTAGTCTAGAAAGTAGGACGTTAAACCCCATTTCATTTCTAGTTCAGAATCTGGTGCTCTAACAGCGTGGGTAAGACGGGGGGGGGGGGGGTATACTCTTTGTGAAATACAATATGACGAATTAAAGGGGTTCTCGTAGCTAGCGAATTGCACATTGCAAACCGTTGGGGTACGACGGTCCAGCCCATGCCATGACGTATTTGAGGGGTTCACGGATAGTTTACGAATTGCAAACCGCTGGGTGCGGAGTGTACCTTTAATGAAATAGCCACGACAAATTTGAGGCCTTCACGTAACTAACGAATTGCAAATTGTAATCACGTTAACCTCTAAATTAGATAGGGACATAACATCCTGCGGCTCTGTTCCTAAACGCTAATTAAGGCGGGCATACGCCATACAGTGTACTATGAGGTAAATTCTACATCGGCGCTACGGCCTACTCTTATATCGAATTCCAACTGCCACATTATCATTTAAGTTGCTTGTCCATCCGAACATCCTTTCCTTGTCCCTTGTCAGATCCTATGTCCTGTACCCGTGACAAGGAGGAAACACGCCGGACAATCCCGATAAACTTCCTGTCCGACATAAGGTTCGAATCCCGGACCTTCAGGTCAGCGAGCCAGCGTCCTACCGTGGCTCCTATGTTAACCTGTAACGGTGAAACAAGTTATAATCAACAGTAAGTAACTTACCTGTAACGGTGAAGCAAGTTATTAACAACAGTAAATCACTTACCTGTAACTTTGAAGCAAGTTATTAACAACAGTAAGTAACTTACCTGTAACGGTGAAGCAAGTTATTAACAACAGTAAAGACTTCATATTGGTATATTATATCACAAACTATCAAACTATATTTCCCTCTGGTCACCAGATAATATCTCTTATCCTTTAAATACTGTATCATCAGGTAAAAAAATAAACACATTGTTTGTTTGATTATAAATATGCCATATAGAAGTAGAAAAAATTAAAACGTCATCGTTGAAACCCCACTTAAGGTATGAACGTGTTAACAACCAAACTTGAACGTAGAGCGAACACCGGTTTATTTAAACAGCAGTTGGTCAACGTAGAGCGAACACTGGTTTATTTGAACAGCAGTTGGTCAATTCCACGAGTCATTTAACCAATATCATCGACTCCATTTGACACGCGCGAGATTATGCTTACTTCCAAGGAATATTCGATGCTATGTGTAATTAAAGGGTATATGGCTCTATTCGTTGGATCCTTAAAATAGACATATTAATGAAACGAGGGATTTATATTCAATTTCAAATTGAAAGGCAGTCGTTTACGCCTTATTAATGCATTCTATACGTTCTTTAAATTATTATTTTGTCAACAGAACACAGTTTTTATGGGATACAATCACTAGTTTTATTCTAAAAGCACGACGTTTCGACAAGTATCCTATTATCGTTATTGTGCTTGATAACGATAAGAGGATACTTGTCGAAACGTGCTTTTAGAATAAAACTAGTGATTGTATCCCATAAAAACTGTGTTCTGTTAATGTGTTTCCGATCGCTAAATGCCACTTAAAGATTGTATTATTTTATCCTTTGTGAATTAGCCTTTACTAATTACTTCCGCATTGTGTTGTGAGATATGTTTTTATTTGTTCATTACAAAGTGGCACCCGAAACCATAGGGTATACAATGTCAATTGTGTCTTAAATATTGGATATTAGGGTCCTGTAGTTTCACGGAAAAAATAACAACACCAACATTGATTGAAATGAACCAATATTGAATTATAATTTGGGTTTTTAATTTCGAATATTATGGAAAATATTGAGTTAGAGGGTTAGCCCCTTTAATGATCAAATGTATGGTGAATCAATTTAGTAGGTTTAGTAGATTGATCATGTCTAGATGATTTAACGTCCACTTAACGTTTACTACGTCATTAAGGGGGCGTTTACACGATACAACCAATCCATACAACCGTCGGATGCAACATATTGGACGACTGTTTACACGATACAATTGTTCCTTCTTAGTAACTGAATAAATTGGCAGCAATAGACTGATATTTTTTGTGTTTTACCTTAATAGGTATTTGCGAGTAGGGTGTTCTTGACTGTGGAGGGATATTTGCGGGAGGTTGGATGGCGAATGGTTAGCACGTGCGCGCTGTATCATAAGGCCTGTCATTGAGTCAACTGGCGTGGTTTCGAATCCCCGGTCGTACGTGACAAGGCGAAGGTTCGCCTGTCCAACCTCATGGGTTTTCTCCGGGTCCTCCGGTTTCTTCACACTGTTAAAGACCCCTACGCGCAAGCGAATTATTGAAATAAAATTAAAAACCATATGTTAGTCCCGAAATGACCTAGTTTGTGTCGAGTGGACGTTAGGATAGTCCAAACACTTTTTGCCTTGATTAGTCCAAGAGTTCACAAAGCATTCTCAGTAAATTAAGAATTTACTCAACTTTCAATCACTGTTTATGAGAAATGTATTTGATCCAGAAACACAATACTTTGCCCACATTTTCTTATTTGTGTAGGCAATTTGATACATTAACACAACAAATGTTTTATAAAGGGCAATATTTTAGTTAAATAAGACGAACAATTTTGAGTAAAGTCTTAACTTAAACGTGCATTATGCAAGAGCAAAATCTGCTTATTACAAGTCTTTCTTTAGGCCTGAAATGTTATCTAAATTATCAATTAGACATTAATTAACTTATCCAGTCCATAATAAACTCTCGATGTCAAGGCTAGCCTTCGATGTTGGCTGGATTAGATTCCTATATGTCGCTAACGGCTATTGATAATTAAATCAGAAAAAGTGGATAATCGAGACTATGCTGTTTATATTAATGATTTTAGTAATGATGACCGAGACTATGCAAAAATTTCACCTGCTTCTTTCTCGGCTCATAGTGGATCAATTTGACTGAAATTTTCAGCAAATTACCTTTACACTATCTAGTTTTTAACTATTATAGCGAGAACTGCCATCTCTTTATATTATCTCCCATAATGTATCTTTAAGTCTGAAAATGATTGTGAAATCTGGGCGTGATCCTGTGTACCATGACTGAACATCTCTGAAATTACACCCTCTCCTCGGCACCGCGGCTGATTCAATTACATTTTGACAGTTCCATTAATTTCATTACCATTATAGGTAATCATTACAATTACTTTATTAATTATCATTCCCCATTACTTTATGACTGTATAAATAACAACCATTTCACAGACAATAAAAACACAATCCTATTTTTTGTATACCACCTACAAGAGAGGGCGAGAGAGAGAAATGGGGTTTAACGTCCACTCGACACAAACTATGTCATTTCGGGACTAACATATGGTTTTTAATTTTATTTCAATAATTCGCTTGCGCGTAGGGGTCTTTAGCAGTGGGAGGAAACGGAGAACCCGGAGAAAACCCACGAGGTTGGACAGGCGACACTACTCCTTGTTACGTACAACCGGGGATTCGAAACTACGCCAGTTGACTCAATGACAGACTTTATGATACAGCACGCATGTGCTAACCATTCGGCCATCCAACCCCTCTACCACCTACAAAATCAGGTCCAAAATGATCTTTGATTTACAGCAATCTGTATATCAAATATCTCATCTATAATAAATTGTCATGCGAGGGTCGCCACTGCCTTCAAACAGAATAATTTGTGAACTCGATCGTTTTCTGTTGACAATAAATAACTCTTTGATGTCGAATACAAAAACGTAACCAAGTAATATTACTTATTATAAACGTGCGTGTAAAATATATGTCAGTTTTAAAGTCGATTGTTAATACGTAGTATAAATTGTCTTCGTTATGCTTCTGATTTATTTACAGTAAAAAGGCAGAATGAAAAGTAGGGTATTATCTTTTTTTATTGTATCTACACAATACATAAAATGTAACATGTAATCGAATGGACTCACGTTCAGATTGTGTTACGTACGCGTGCATTATCGATTTATTTTGTCTACAATACAAAAGGGGGGGGGGGTTGGATGGCTGAATGGTTAGCGTGCGCGCGCTGTATCATAAAGTCTGTCATTGAGTCGACTGGCGTGGTTTCGAATCCCCGGTTGTACGTGGCAAGGAGTAGGGTCGCCTGTCCAACCTCGTGGGTTTTCTCCGGGTCCTCCGGTTTCCTCCCACTGCTAAAGACCCCTACGCGCAAGCGAATTATGTAAATAAAATTAAACCATATGTTAGTCCCGAAATGACCTGGTTTGTGTCGAGTGGACGTTAAACCCCCATTTCTCTCTCTCTCACAATACATAAGATGTAACATGTAATCAGATAGACCCTACTTCCGACTGTGTTACGTACGCGACTTCACTGCATTTTTAAATAGATCAGAAGATCAGTTTACAGTACAATGAAAACGGGTTTATCTTCTTATTGTTCCTCAACATGCGCAAACCTATCAATGCTAGAAGTAATAAAGGTGGTCAACAAGCCATAGAGGCTTAATGGTAGATCGAAGAAAAAGTATAAAAGGTATAACAAGGTGGAGGGGCACAATCCGTGAAGTATGTTATGGGAAAATTTCAATCTGATTAAAATACAGATTTATATCATCATTTGAGGTGGTTCAATAAGGCGCTAATTCACTAACTAGAAGATCCCGAGGTTGACTCTACTTTGTCCGTGAACCTGGCCAGGAACAGCTTCCAGTCGTTCTGATAGCACAAGAATCATGGTCCCGTGTACACGTAGACTTGGTTAGAAACGCGGCCAGGCCACAATTTCTCCCCAATCTGATTAAAACACAGATCATACTTCGTTCGGTTTTTTTTATAGTTCAAAATTTCATTTTACTTGTCTTTACAACTCTAGGGCCTGGAGGAGTTGTTATCATTCACGCGTTCTGCTTGATGCGAGGAATTAGCCAATGAATTCTTGGCGTGTTGTGCACCATTAGGAACGTCAACGCTGATTGATTAATCAATGTCTGACGTCATAGAGTCGAAAGCCGCTCGTATGACCCTGACGCGACCTTCCACTACAACTGGTCAGATCTTCATGTAGTAGAGGCCATTAAAAGTATAAGAAAAAACGAAACGAAATATAGATCTGTATTTTAGTTAGATTGATAGCATGGGAACGACCAGCTCTTTATCTAAATCGTATAGACATATAATTAATCTTTTATCAAACTGTGTTAGCGAAGTATTATTTATCATGACCATGTTATAAAAGTGGCAAACAAGTAATAGATACTTCAACCTGAATTGTCACCTGTCTCGACCAAAGAAAAACAATAAGTGAAATAGGATGACCCGTGCACTTTACAGAAAGTTGGTCTCGACACGGCTAAATGTGCACGCTTCAGTTGCGTGTCTCGAACTGATTTCTGACTACCCCGCACTCGCTTTGAGTCGATAAATAGCCATGGCACGTGCAATTCTCTACAAATATATCAACTATTACAGCCGTAAAAAATCTATTATTGACGATTTTGAATAGCAGTAAAATTTAGCTTCTTGGTTATTACAGCAGCTTTAGTAATTACGTTTGTTTTATTTTTTAAATTGCTTTATCATTAACTGTACCGTTAAGAGCGGCATCTTTTGGTTTAGTACAAATACTATCTCTGAATCACTTTCTTTAGCAGGAACATGATACTAGCAATAGTTTCATTTTACTTTTACAAGTTTCTTAAAACAATTGTTGAGTTGTCTAAAGTGCTTATTTCTAAATTCAATTTCTTGTTCTAGCTTTCTGTTATGTTTCGTAAAAAAGTAGTCTTGATTATCCCGACCTGTCAATCAGACGTAGAATGGTCGATAGACTGGTTAAGCGAGACTAATTTCAAAACAAGGGCACGTAACCTATCTTTTACTCAAAAGTGTCTGGATGTTATGGACGCAACTTGGAACCAGTTTTCAGTCTATTATTTATAGATGATTAATGGTCATAGCTTATTAAGTACAACATGATCGTTTATTTAGTGACTATAATTGTGTGAAACTGATTTGAGGCTTGGCATATATATAAATATTGTGGCGTAATTGTCGAGATATTTGGAGATATTTATTTATGGTGGGTCACCCTATGAGAGGCTGATTGCTGCTTGTTCATCGGTGGAGTTCCCCCTTTTTAGTGATGCAGGACTGACATGAAACAGTGTCTAGTGGTTAGCGCGAGCGCGTTATATCATAAGGTCTGCCATTGAGTCAACTGGCGTGGTTTCGATACCCCGGTTGTACACGATAAAGAATAGGGTCGCCTTTCCAACCTCGTGGGTTCTCTCCGAGTCTTCCAGTTTACTCCAACTGCTACAGACCCCTACGCGCAAGCGAATTATTGAAAAAAAAATTGAACCATATGTTAGTCCTGAAATGGACTAGTTTGTATCGAGTGGACGTTAACCTCGTCTCTCTCACTCTCTCCCCCTCCCCCCCCACCTCTCTCCTTTTATGTGTTGGCGACCACAGTGGCTAAGTGGGTAAGAAGCTGGCTCGCTAGCCAGGGGGGCGGGTTTTCTATCCCTGCATTTGCCGAGAAAGTTCATAAAGTTTTCCCAGTGTGGTTCCCCCTTGTCAGTAATGTAGGACGGAGGGCCCGTGTACACATTGGCGTGAACGTGAAAGATCTCTTGGAATTCGATATAAGAGTAGGCGGTAGTGCCGCTGTCCGGGCAAATTTCCCTCATAGCACACTCTATGGCGTATGTCCGCCTTTATTAGCCCATCTCGGAGAAGAACAGTAGGACGTTAAACCCCATTTCATTTCATTTTCAACGCAACGTCTTGTCTCAGATAATCAGTGCAGTGTGGACAGTCCCACGACCACGATTCAATCGATTTCCGTCGCGTCGTGGCCCATCGGTCCGACTGAGCATGTTCAGTCGTAGTCGGATGTACTGCAGTTGGATGCAGTCGTAACCCATCGTGTTTGTGTGGACACTCACACGACAGGATCAATTGTCTTACTGTTGTTTAGCCAATCAGAGAGTAGCATTTAGTCATGTGACTGTGCAGTTCATGTGCTCCTTGTTTTCCCGGGAAAATATAATGTCACTTTTATGCTTCCGGTTTACTTTTGGAATCACTCGCTAGAGGGAAGTGGCGTAACTCACGACGCATAATCTGTGAGAGTCGGGCCTGTGTGGACTGGTACCGTCGTAGGCAAGTCAAGTAAAAACGCGACCCGACTTTTTTTTACAACTGCCCAAGACGCTGCGTCCTGTCGGGTTGTGTGTAGTCGTAGCGGTATGGGCCGGGCTTTACATGATAACATAAGACATTCTTATTACATACAATAACAAGTAGACGATCTCATTACATAAAATAACGAATAGTGGGTGATTAGACATACAATAACAAAAAGTGGGTGAATTACATACACTAACAAATAGTGGGTGATTAGACGGTGTTATTACATATAATAACAAATAATGAGTGATTAGACTTTCGTATTACATACAATAACAAATAGTGGGTGGATTAGACGGTCTTATTACATACAGTGAGTGATTGGACGGTCTTATTACACACAATAACAAATAGTGGGTGTTCGTATTACATACAATAACAAATAGAGGGTGGATTAGACGGTCTTATTACATACAGTGGGTGATTAGACGGTCTTATTACACACAATAACAAATATTGGGTGATTAGACGGTCATATTACATACAATAACAAATAGTGGGTGATTAGACGGATTTGTTTTACATACAAAAACAAATAGTCGGTTGGATTAGACAGGTTTATTACATACAATAACAAATAATGAATGATTATTTCTCTGGACGAGGTACCAGACCACATGGTTCATAAACAGCATGTTTGTAGTCACAATTATCAGTTTCTTCGTTGAATACCAGACCTGGAATATAAATAGTATATGGTTTAACCAATGCAAATGGACATGGAACATTAGCCCTGAAGGCGGGTATACTCCATGCAGTATGTTATGACGGCAATTTTTATCTTTTAGCCTACGTTCTATCAAATTACAGCTTCTACGTGGCAAGGATCGACTGTCTAACCTCCGGTTTCCTCCAACTGCTAAATACCCCTACGCGGAAGAGAATTATTGAAATAATATTGAACCATGTGTTAGTTCCGAAATAACCTAGTTTGTGTCTGCATGGGAGTGGACCCCAGTATATCGTCCCATCCGAACGATTAGACGCCCTTCATTGCCAGACCATCAACCTCTCTGGGCTACTTAAGACTCCTTGTGATTTAAAAGAGAGAGTGAGAGAGAAATGGGGTTTAACGTCCACTCGACATAAACTAGGTCATTTCGGGACTAACATATGGTTTAATTTTATTTCAATAATTCGCTTGCGCATAGGGGTCTTTAGCAGTGGGAGGAAACCGGAGGACCCGGAGAAAACCCACGAGGTTGGACTGGCGACTCTACTCCTTGTCACGTACAACCGGGGATTCGAAACCACGCCAGTCGACTCAATGACAGACTTTATGATACAGCGCGCGCACGCTAACCATCCAGCCATCCCCCCCCCCCCCCCATGACTTTAAAAGCACATATTATGCAAATAGAATACAGCTACATGATCATGTCTGGTTTCATCCGCAGAGTTGGAATTACCGATTCCAAAAGACTAGGCTCTACGAGTCTATGATCCTAAATGGTTTAGAGAGAGACCAAATGTCTTTAAGAAAAAACTACGTACCTTCAGGACAGTAGTTATGACCGAAGAATTCTCCACTTTGACACGTATAATAAGACGTACAGGCTTGATCGTAGTCAGGATATTTGCCGTCCGGGATGTTTGAACAGTCTATCCAATTTCCACAAGGTGGTTCTACGTTATTTTCACTGAAATATTTTTTGTACATGTCTATCAATAATTACAACAGTGATTGATCTGAAATAATTTTTTATATATTTCTATAAATAATTATAATAGCGATTGATCTGAACTAATATTTGTATATTTCTATGAATAATATATTTTTTAAAAATGTCTATAAATAATAGCGATTGATTTTATGTATATCATAAGGAAACATCAAACGATCCAGAACCATGGTTACACGGATTTCCATGAAGGTAAGTTCTCAGGTGCTTTCTCGGACAACACCGGGATCGAACTCAATATCTCCTGGTTACCAAGCCAACGTCTTACACGCTGAGCCACGGCGGCTCCCATTGAAGATTACAGAGCCAGCGTCTTACACACTAAGCCATGGCGGCTCCCACTGAAGGTGAGAAACAACTGTTCAACTATAGGTCTTTGTCAGTTCGTCTGTGCTGAACCACCGACAAGGGGAACCACGCAAAAAACTCACGTAATTTCTTTTCGATCAACATTCCATGATTATAAAATACATACATGATTACACCCCCACCCCCGTTTTCTAAAAGACCACAAAATCTTATAAATAAATAATTTATTAGCCATATGACTTACTCGTCGCAGTCTCCAATCTCTGGATTAAAGACGAGTCCTACTTCACATTCAACAGTTTCACCGTCGCCATCTTTACATCTTACAAAAGACTTGCAACCAATTTCATAGATTCCATCGTCTTGACCAGTACAATTAAAACCTAGAACTATAAGATAATAAACGTATTAAACACGCATTATGTAATATATAACTCTATACCTAGTACAGATCCTTCTTCCTGTACCACGCGTTATTTCATTTGGCTGTCTGTACCAGACCATCCTTCCTGCACCACTCGTTAGTCTATAATGCCCACGGGGTTTGGGTGATTTAACGGGTGCCTCCTAGTTTGTGTCAAGTGGACGTTAACTCTCATAGTTTGGCTTAGATCAAAAGGATACTCTATCAATAAAAACCCACATCCTTATGGAAAGATTCCTTACCAGAACAATAAAACACCAACAGAACAATAATATATCTAGATATGTCCTTGTCTTACTTAGAACAACGAAACCTTAAAATAGATAGTAGGTAAAGTGAATACCTTTTCCTGAAATGAAATGGGGTTTAACGTCCTACTACTCCGACTCGGCTAATGATGACGGGGATTTCCTGAAATCTGAAATGAAATTGGTTTTCACGTCCCACTGTTCTGCACCGGTTGGGCTAATGACGGAACTTTGGCCCGGACAGCGACACTTGAGCCTGCTCTTATATCGAATTTCAACTGTCAAAGGTTCGATTACGTCCACGTCCATGTGTACCTCAGTTTTCCGCCTCGCCCGGACGACCAAAAGCTGTCCTTGTCAGGCCCAAGGCCCTGCACCACTTACAAGGAAAACCACGCTTGACAATCCCAGGGCTAGTGAACCAGTGCCTTACATACTACCGAGCAACGGCGCTTCCCAAAACCGTTTCAACAGGTTAGTGTTAAATGACAAGGCCAGCTCAATTTTTCGTCATAGTTCACGAGATGTAAACAGGGCTAGTGCTAATCCCAACCCTAACCCCAATCTTGGTCCTAGCCCCAATGCTTACCCTAACCCTAACCTACAATCTCGCCAACAATCACGTGCCCTAACCTTATTTACATCTCAGCGACCTTGGCAAAAATTGAGCTAGCCTTAATAAATAAAATGCTCTTTATGAAATACCCTATGTGACGGACGTATTGCAAGGCCCTCTGTCCTGTACCACTGACAAAGGGGGGCCACGCTGGAAAATCCCGATAAACTTTCTTGGCCGATACCAGGAGCGAAGTCCGGACCTTCGGGTCAGCGAGCCAACATCCTACCGTGGCTCCTGCGGTAACCTGCAACTTACCTGTAGCGGTGAAACAAGTTATTAACAATAGTAAACACTTCATATTGGTATTTTATATCACAAACTATATTTCCTTCTGGTCACCAAGTAATATCTTTTATCCTTTAAATACTGTATCATCAGATAAAAAAATAAATACACATTGTTTGTCTGCTTATAAATGTGCCAAATAGAAGTAGAAAAAAAAATGAAGACGTCATCATTGAAAACCCACTTATGTATGATCGTGTTAATAACCCAAACTTCAACGTAGAGGGAACACTGGTTTATTTAAACAGGTTTGGTCATTTCCACGAGTCTACCTATAGTTTAACCAATATCATTCGACACAAACTAGGTCATTTCGGGACTAACATATGGTTCAATTTTATTTCAATAATTCGCTTGAGCGTAGGGGTGTGTAGCCGGTTCAATCTCGTGGGTTTTCTGTTACATAATCACAGATTATCTGATGTTAAAGATGCTTCCTGCCAACTTGACACCTGTTCGTTATCGACATGCCTGAAGTTCTTGGTCTATGTGATTATGTAACGATTATGTAAACGTTAACTTGCTGGCATGTTTTATTTAAACTTTCTTTGTCTGATTAGCATGTATCGAATGTTAAACTTGATATGATACATTAGCCAGATGCCTAATGAGATCCTTTGTTTGGAAGGGTTTATAAACCCAGATTAACAAACAAATCGACAGACAGGTCCGGCCAGGACAGGCCACGCAGATCTAGAGTTAAGACCGGACAACGGCCATGTAATGTAAGTTAGTTGGGAGTTGGCACACTCGTGCCTAGCCGAGCTAGGACATGGCTCTCTCAACACAAGCTAGTTATGGAGTCTTTAAGTTTTGTATATAATATGTTAGAGGAAGCAGAGAATAAAAGATATTATAAAATGTTAAACTAGTCTTGTCATCCAGAACTTGATTAAAGAACCAATACTGTAACATTTCTCCGGGTCCTGCGGTTTCCCCCCACTGCTAAAATGACCGAAATGACCTAGTTTGTGTTGAGTAGACGTTAAAACCCATATCTCTTTCTGTCTCCAGGAACTTTCGATACCACGTGTAATTAATGACCAACTGTATGGTGAATCTTTTTGAATGTGAATTTTCTATGAGACTGATGGTTTAACGTCCACACAACGTATGAAATGAAATGAAATGGGGTTTAACGTCCTACTGTTCTGCTCCTAAACTGGGCTAATGAAGACGGGCATACGCCATACAGTGTGCTATGAGGGAAATTTTGCCCGGACAGCGGCACTACGGCCTACTCTTATATCGAATTCCAACTGCCAAGGGATCTTTTACGTGCACGCCAATGTGTACACGGGACCTCGGTTTTTCGTCCCATCCGAACGACTAGACAGCTTTCCGTGTCAGCCCCTCCGTCCTGCATCACTGACAAGGGAGAACCACGCCGGAAAATCTGGATGAACTTTCTCGGCCAATGCAGGGATCGAACACCCGACCTCCAGGCTAGCGAGCTAGCGTCTTACCCACTTAGCCACGTAATCCCCCAACACAACGTATACTAGATCATTTAAGAGCTGATTATTTCGTTTAGAAGGTATTTGTGGGTAGGGGTGTTTGGCTGTGGAGGGATACTGGATACCCCAGAGAGCAATGCTATGTTCCCTGTCACGTACATACTTATGTCTGATTCAAGGATAAACCTAATCAGTCTCGTGAGTTTTATTTAAAGTGTCTATGGATAGCCTACATAGTCCAAGATCTTTTTACCTTGATCAGGCTCTGTGTACATTGACTCGACCTCACTGAACCCATACCCCTCCCCGACGCCACGACTGGGGCCATTATATTTCAACAGTAAATACTATTACTTTTTAGTGTAATCAATACACATTACTTTATGTCTGTATAAATAGCAAACATTTTACAGAGTTTAATTATCATTAGACATTACTTTATGTCTGTATAAATAGCAAACATTTTTTACTTCAATATGCTTACATTCCTGTTTCATGTGGCATATAGCAGACTACACAATGTTTTCTCTGGGTTATATTCCTGATTGTTTGTCTTTCATTTTTGAGTGACAGCGCAGTGGACGCTTACGGCTAGACCCCGGATCCATTCACTTAATCGAATATGTACGTTTGTTTGTGAATTCTGCGTATTGTGTCTCAATAGTTTTTTGGGGTTTTTTTTGTGTAATTATGTGTGGTGCAGCCCCCCTATACTTACTATTACAGACATTAAAAGCACAACCAAGTCCAAAATAAACCTTGATTTACAATAATATTTGTTTTCTTAATATATACACCATTCTTAAATCAAATATCTCATATACAGTACATTTTCAAGTGTGGGCCCCCTCCGCCATTCAAATAAAACAATTTCTAAACTCGGTCGTTTTTTGTTGACAATAAATAACAGTTTGATGTCGAAAGGAAACCGATAACAAGATAATAGTTCTTGTTATAAACATGCGTGTAAAATAAATGTCAGTTTTAAAGTGGATGATATACTGGGTCTACCCAAAGTACCCGCAAGCATGTCCGTGAGAGAGAGAGAGGGAGAGAGAGAGAGAGGGAGAAAGAGAGGGAGGAAACCAAGTCCACTTAATTCAATGAAAGACCCTATGATTTCACACACACGCGTTAAACCACAGACCATCTACACCCCTCGGTAAGATATAACATACGGAGTGCTAGACGAATTGATGTGAATTAGATTACTAATGTACAGATCTATAATTCATACTGTTCTACAGTGATCGGGCTAGTTAAGACGGGAGGTTGGATGGTCGAATGGTTAGCGCGTGTGTTATGTATCATAAGGTCTGTCATTGAGTCAGCTGGCGTGGTTCCGATTCCCCGGTTGTACGTGAGTTTTCTCTGGGTTCTCCGGTTTCACCCCTCTGTTAAAGGGCGCAAGCGAATTATCGAAATAAAACTTAACCATATGTTAGTCCCGAAATGACCTAGTTTGTGTCGAGTGGACGTTAAACCCCATCTCTCTCTCTCTCTCTCTCTCTCTCTCTCTCTCTCTCTCTCTCTTCCTATCTCAAAGGTATATATTGTTAAAAACACGATATATTTTTTTTAATTTTAAAGATATTATATTGCTATTTAGATAAAGCGTCTTGGGAGGTTTGTCGTTTACATTGTTCAAATAAAGTTGTTAATCTACGTAAAGACTGGGCACCTTGTCTTAATGGTGCTCGGGGGCCACGGCGGCTAATGTTGAATCTCGATGTGGGATTTTACTGCTCTGACTGGACTAATGAAGAGGAGCATACGCCATACAGTGTGCTGTGAGGGAAATTTTGCCCAGGCAGCGGCAGTATGGCCTACTCTTATATTGAATTCCAACTGCCAAGGGATCTTTACGTGCACGCCAATGTGTACAAGGGACCTCGCTTTTTCGCCCGATCCGAACGACTACACAGTTGTAGTAAAATAACCTAAAAAATAGGCGGAATTAGCTAAATTTGTGCAGATGAACGTGACGTTATTTATTTTGTTTATATCAGTGAGAAGAAGAATCCTATTGAAATTTTTATGTATTGTTCACATTAGTTATGTAGCCCCTGTTCACTTCGTAAATCCCGTGAACGCTCAACTGACAAAAGTTATCGCCCATCGCCCAATCCGTTTGATATTAATGAATCCCACTGATATCTAACAATTACTTTTAATTACGTCAAAAGATATGGTCATTCGTTACCATGCAACATAATGCCTATGGACTGCCTGGGCGATTAAGCTGCTGTGAGCGCCTGTTTCGTTACCAAGTAAACTATGTTTATATAAACGGTATTATACGAGATACATATATTGTGTAGCATTGTGGAGTGTACAGACACTAGCGCTATATATAGAAACAGCTGTAGCTTATATTATGTGTAGATCTATATATACGCGTGACTGTGTTTACTTTATTAATGTCTTTCATTTAACTCAGGCATTTCAATATTATGTCCTTTACTTTTCTTGTATTATATTTAATAATAACAACTTGGTCTCATATTAAAGTATGGTACCTCACAAAGTATAGATAGCCGATTGTAAAAACAAAAAAAAATGTATTCTCCCCGACGGGGAATTGAACCCCGGTCTCCCGCGTGACAGGCGGGGATACTTACCACTATACTATCGAGGATTACATATGACGTAGGTAATTATAGATAACATTTGACCTCTGGATTTCTTATAGCATAGATAGGCGAAGGAAAAGGGACAAAATAATGTACTTGTGTTATGGGTTTAAAGTTTATGTAACAACCTCCCTCCCCTCGCTCAGCTTCAGATTTTTTTATTAAAATAAATTCACGGCCGTGTGCTTTATCTTTTATCGTCAGATGGTGGGATGGGATGGGCATTCAAAGCACGAAATAATGAGATATGGACATATGTAATATCACAATTAATGCTTTGCATCAATGAAAATGGATCACAATGTGATAGTATTAATTCATAATAAAAATTGCCGTCAAATGGGATGTTGGGTTTTTCTCTTTAAAAACTCACTGTGTATGTATATACGTGAAAAAGACGATTGAGTCATGTACTTCCCAAAACTTTTCAAGGTTGCGAGGGATCGGTGATAGGAAGGGCCTGCCAAACCCCATACTGCAAAAATTCCTGGACCCGCCCCTGGGTTTATCGACGATATAAATATCAACGGGAACTAACTCCATAATGTGAAAAGGTTGCAGACCACTATTCTATTACTGATTTTGATTTCTTGTCTCTTCGCCCGACTCCAATTTTGTATCAAATTATAATTGGACTGAATGCTTTTCACTACATAAGGAGCAATGTCTTGTCCCGAAACTTGTATGAGGTTAAACAAGGGCATTTTGAGATATACAAGCGTGAAGTAGCATACTAAAAACATGCAACCATCTGTCGTATATATCACCGTTTCCGACCTCTTAAAGGGCTTATGATTCTATTTTTTGGAACCATAAATGGGTCTAAAAGCATATATTAATGCAATATGAGTGTATATAAAATGATTTATATTAAACATACATTATGACGTCACATTAATAATGATGTCATTGTATTAATCATAATATATATTAAACATACATTATGACGTCACA